GCAATTAATAGTTTTTAAAGGTGCAGTGTGCTCATTATGCAATGATTTACTTACAGATTTACAGCAGTGAGCAGATTTTTATGAGCTCGGATATTTCAGGCAACGAATGATTCAGCTCATACTGTTTTGTGTCACAGACAAATGAAGACAAAAATGTTTTTATCCGTCATTTCTGCTTGTTCAATAATTGGTCAATGATCTCCTTTGATACAAAACCCACTTATCTTTTTTCCTTCCCCCTACAAAAATATTTCCTTTCTGAATCTTGATTGCTATGATCATTAACTAGATAAATGAATCTGAAGTAACGTCAGAGCTGTAGCTCTCTTGGGAGAGCCACATGACTAGTGAGGAATTGAATGAAGTGCTAAAAGAGGGTCACATCTAGAAGAAATTATTCCAGCATCCCTCCATCAGAATTAGGAGTCAAGCTGCATCTCCGTCCCCAGAAAATGTCATGTTCCCCAGTATTTCCATTTTGAATCAGAGCGAGCCAGCCACAGCAGCTTTCCACAGAAGGAAATTTTTAAATGCAATTCCAAAGAGTTAAGAAGAATTTTTTGGGGAAAATTTCCAAGTGATTCAGCCAGCCAGTGCCAGAAGCCAGGCAGTCACAGTCTGGCAGGAGACAGGCAGAAGAGCTGGACCAGCACTCTGCGTGCCTGGCTCTGGGGAAACCTCCAAGGCACAGCCCAGCCATACCCAGTGTGGCCACTCAACTGAACCAGCACAGCCCAGGGGGAAGCTTTTGCCTGCTCTTCTTCCTCGAGACAGTACCTCCTGGCACCCCGAGGCGTTTCCTGGGACTCCTTCCAAAGGTGCAGAAATGTAACACATTAGGTGTGGACCTGATGGATATCTGTGGTCGACAGCCATCTCTTGTTCCTTGATGTCCCTCAGCAGCGACAAGGACTGCTTTAATGCCAAACCATGGGACAGCTCTTCTAGGTCCTGTGGAGCCCCACAGGGACCTCCGTGGTCCCCTGGGCCTTATTGTCTTCTCACCCTCTTCCTCTCTTACACAGAGGCTCAGGAAACTTTTGCCACCTGGAGATACCAACAAACGCTATCCAGATCAACAGGGGAAGGGGAAATGAGGGCATTTCTCTCCCTGGGCCCCTTTCCCTTTTTGGCAATCCTTTCTTAGGAAAAAAACCACTTCTCTGTAGAAGAGCTACCAGCCATGAAGGAATAATTTTGCATACCCTGCCCCATTGTCACATTTTCTGCGTGAGAGAGACATCATTTTCAGCCCCAACCATCTCCCCATTGGCTGACAGCATTGGTATCGGATCAATAAGTGGTTAAAAATGGGAGACAAAGGACTGAAGAAGTGGAGCAAGGGCCCTCGCTCACTCTCACAGAGATTTAATGAGACCTGAGCTGTTCAGCAGATCCGTAAATGAGCTGGGGAAGGGAGCAAACACTGAGGTGGTAAAGCTTTGTAAATCTTTTTTTTTTTTTTTTTTTTTTTCTGTCAAAGTGAAGTCTGACAGCATATTTGCCAAAGAATCTCAGGATACTGAGTGCCTGAGAGATCAAATAATAGGCAAAAAATCAGTCTTGGGAATGCAATGTAATGCATTTCAGAAAAAAGGAAACTTCAGTTATATGTTTTTCAACAGTGGGTTTTAAATTAACTATCACCATCCAGGAAAGAAACATTGGACTCATTGTGGATAGCTCTCTCAAATTGCTGTCTCCTTGCTCACTAGAAATTAAAAAAGATAAATAGAGTGTCAAGAATTGTTGAGAAGAAATAAGCAAAGACCAAGGATACACCTTTAAGCCACTGTATAAATCCATGCTGTGCTCATAGCGCGACCACTGCAGCCTGCCCTACTTACCCCCTCCTGAAACTAGGAAAACTACAGCAAAGGGTGAGAAGGATGCTCTAGTGAAAGACACAGCCCTTTGTGAAGAGACATGAAAAAGGCTCGGACTTCCAGCTTGCAGAAAAGAATAACTGAGTGGAAAACCTGGTAGAGGTCTTTGATGAGTGGCAAAGAGAAAGTGAACAGGGACAGATGGTTAAATTATAACACAGAAGTAGGGAGGCATCCAAGTCAGTTGTCAGGAAGCTGGTTTACACCAACAAAATGAACTGCATTTGCCTTGTGGCACTCATTGCCACAGGACAAGGAAGGTACCAGAGGTATAAACAGTTATGTTTTTCCTTTAGATAGATGAAGGAAAGGCTTTGAATGGGTATTAGCTACCTTGGCCTGGATTTGTCTTCTGGCTGGGTAAGGCAGTATGCCAGGGTGAGGGCAGAGGCAAGGAAAGTTCATTTTACACTTACACATGCTCTTGTCTTGTGTAGCCTTTCCCTGACCGCTGCTGGTCACTAAGGGAAGCTGGATGATAATTTCAATGAGTATTTCTGCACTCCAAAATACTGTAAGATAAGTTATTTGCTTTTTCCTCTTGATCTCATTCTTTAGAGCTGTGTCATGTACCGGGTGATAGATCTCATTATAATGGTGCCAGGGGATGGGGGTGGAGATACTGTTCTGCCTGAAAGTGTGGCTGATGCTTTAATGGGGCCAGCTTTCCCCAAAAAACAAAGGGGAGGAGCTGGGCACACAGTCTCTTGCCTAGGAATTGGCTGGTGGTGTTTTAGTCTGCTGACATATGCCCCAACAGGACAAACTGAATGTCCTTAAGGTTGTTGAATCCTGACCATTCGATCACTGGCATTTCAGAAAAATTAATTTTTAAAACATCACAAAAAGCCTAGATGTAATGATACAAAGACAACATGGCAACAAACCATACATACATCATCCTGTCTGCAGCCACTTTGGCCACTGAGAAGGGTGCTGTGACTCCCTGAAGCCTGGACTATTGTAGCCATCTCACATGCCAGTCACCACCTCTTGGTTGTAAATATTTCACAGAGCCACAGAATGTTTGAGGTTGGAAGGAACACAAATTTCCCAGCCCCCTGGGGGGCCTTCAAAGGCCCCACTTGGAGCTGGGGAGCCTTTAGGCTTCCATTGAACTCCACCATGAGGTGTGTCCTTCTGAAGAGTAAAAGTAGAGACAAACATACCTTGGGCCAGACCTCCCACTGATATTTAACTCTGACGGTGACACAGAATGGATGAAAGGCTACAGAGATCCCTGCCGTCATCCTTCAGATTAGCAAGTGTCCCTGAAATTTGTCCCTTGTAGGAACCCTCTCCACACGCCCGGTCTTTCCACCCTGCTGCCACGAGTCACTGATGAACTGCTTGGACTGTGAACAAGCCTTCTCCCCCAGGGTATCTCACATGCTTTCATTTTGATTTATATCTTGCAAAACATTAGCGTATTAGGAGAACCAGAACACATTATAGTCTACATTTTCCTGAATCCTTTTAGGAAATGCAGCAAGCAGTTAATAGCACAGTTAAAACACATACAATAATATCAGAACCACCTCTCTCCATAGGATGGAATTTCTTTCTCTTGTGCTCTCAACTGGTTGTCCAACTAAGCATGTACTCTGAATGACTAAATTAGCACTGTGCTATGCTTTGTTTTACCTTTCCTGTAATTTACAGGACATAAAAGCCTATTAAAATACTGAAGTAAAACTCCAGCAGCATTATGATGTGCAATGAATTAAAGGTTAGATAATGTGCATCTAACTTGCACATGTCCTGGCTGGACATACCGTACCTTTCTGTCTCTCTCCTCACTGATAGCTTTTCTCTTTTACAAGACGGCAGCTAGCTTCAGAGTACTTTCTGAAAGCCAAGCAGCTCACCAGCCAATATCCTTTCCACATAAAACCTGTGAATACATTTCACAGCACAAGCATGGATACCTACTTAGTTTCCTTTGGGGTATAAACTGTTGAAGGAAGCAGTTTAACAGCAGCAAATATACCAGATGTATATGTCTTGAGGCACAGATGGCAGACAAACAAATAGACATATTGGTATCACTGTACAACACAATTTGCTTACCAGATTGAGGACTGTCAAATATTTCCACTGCCCACCGTAAAGGAACACTTCAGATGGCCGCTCTTCTGTTCTCACGTGTGTGATTGAATAGGCAATGAAAAAATACCAGACAAAAACAAGGCAATGGTACATTGCGAGAGTAGAGATTTCCATCCTCTAGCTAAGAGCAAGTGATAATCAGTCCAAAAGCAGCTTTTCTCTCAGTTACTGTGCGTGGGAAATGGCAGGGCAGGAGGGTTTACTTCAGAGCACACTCAGGACACGTTACCACTTTGCTCTCTTCGAAAGGAATAATCACAAGGTTGTGAGCTTTGCTTTTATTTGTTTCCCTTCTCACTGTACAGATAGGCTGGGGGGTGGGGGTGGGGGGGCAAGAAGAATAGGCTTATTCCCCAGATTTAAATGCCTTGCTCAAGATTAGCAAAGATTAGCGAAGATTAGCAGAGTTACATAAGTTTTTTGGGCTTTTTTTGCGAAAGT